CCCCGTCAGCAGCCTGGCTGCTCTATTTTGTACCAGTTGAAGTATCTGAACTGTCTTCAGGGGCAGCCTCATGGAGAGCACATTGCAGTAATCCAACTGGGAGGTTACCAGAGCATGAATCGCCACTGCTAGGCAGTGACTCTCCAGGTAAGGACGCAGCTGATGGACCAGCTGGAGCCGGAGGAAAGCGTTCCTCGCCCCAGTGATCAACAATTAAAAACAGCGCACAACACAAGATGCGGTATAAAAGCCTAAAATGTTTCAAACTACAGTATGGAACAATTAAAAAAAATAAATCTAAGAGCTGGATAAAGATGACAGATGCAATAACAGATTTAAAACAAATGGAAATAGAGCTGGTACAGCAGTCAAAGCATTGGACTGGAAAATCAGAGTTCTAGCTCCCACATGGTCATGGCCACTAGCGCCCTGGGTGACTTTGGGCCGGTCACAGAGTCTCAGCCTGACACTCCTCACAGGGGTGTTAGGATAAAACTGGCTAGAAGAGACCTACATGAGCCACCCTGCATTCCTTGCAAGAGGAAAAATGGTGGGACGTAAACACAACAGAAGAATAATATGCCCAGTAAAACAGGAAGGTCTTTAAGTGGCACCAGAAAGAGCACAAAGCAAGCACCAGGGAAGTCTCTCTGGGAAGCTTGTTGCTCAACTGGGGTGCCACAGCATGAAAGACCCTGCTCTTAGTAGCCTCCCAGCAGACTTCCTTTGGCAGGGGCTCCCAGAGAAGGACCCCTGAGGACAATCTCAAGGTCTGGGCAGGTGCATGGAGCTCCTTTTCTGGTTGGCCAGCTGAGAGCCAGTGACATAAATGAGTTCAGCCATGAACCAGGGACAGCCAAGTTCAAATCCACACTCCGTCACGAAGCTTATTGAAGCAGTGAAAAATTCCAGGACTGAAGACCTGACGGCTGATAACTAAACCTCAAGAGACTATTTAAAATGCGTATGGGTTTTGCATACTGCCAAACACCAGAGGCTGGGTAAGGGACTTCATGGAACCCAAAACCATCCCAGGGACCCCATCCAGCCACCTCATCCTCTGCCGTCCCCTTCTCCTTTTGCCTTCAGTCCTTCCCAGCATCAGGGTCTTCTCCAGGGAGTCCTTCCTTCTCATCAGGTGGCCAACATATCACTTGCAACTGGACAAACTTCCCCTATTAGCATGGTGAAACATTCTGGGCACCCCTTTTCTCTCCCAGCATACTTCTGAGACCCCAAGGTCCAACAGATCATTATAGGATTTTGTTGACCTCCTAAGAGAAAATAATTTCAGACTGAAAGTTGTGTCATTCTCCACTCTGCGCATCCAAGCTAGATGGCTTGCATGCAATTGCTTTCTGTGTTGTTTTTTTTTTTTTAGCCTGCATTCCTTATGCAGGGGAGAACTGATATAAAACTGAAGTTTTAATATTTTTAAATGCTTTCTTCAGATTTAATTACGTTTGCAAGCTCCCTCTGGAGACTGCTAAAATGTGGCATATACTTTTCTTAAATAAAAATCTAGAATAGAGATGACACATTTCTAGGGAAAGGGGACTAATTTAAACCTACCCCTGAAAATAATTGCTGCAAATAAACTAGTAACACCTTAAATTCTCAGTTTCCCCATTTAAAATGCTGCCTTCACCAATGAAAATATATTTGTTGGAGCGGTGGCTTTATTTTATTTAAATATGTATGTGGCTGTGGCTTCCAAGGCAACTTTAGAGACTAATTATAGCATAAGTTTTTATGGAACAGAGTCCACTGCATTGGAGTCATGGAATTATATTTTAAGATGGTAATCAGATATATCGGTCTATAGACCATATTGAAGAAACTACTGAAATCAACTGGAATTGCAAAATGTACAGACTGATATGACATTCCTCTCGGCATGTTAGGTTTGGTGGCCACTCACAACCAGCACTGGGGATCAAGCAGACACCCAGGCCTGACTAAACTGGGATTAATCAACTGCAGCTGACCCACTGAGAGTTGATTAATCTCTCGATGCAAATACTTCGTGATTTAGAATCAGGGCCATTTCGTTTTCCAGAGAATATGAGGCTCTTTCGTGCCAAATATGGATGGCTTCTCTTGACTAGCAATGCTGGCCTTCCTTTCCCTCTTTCCCCCACACCCACCCCACACCCCCCACACTTAAGGAGCATCCATGAGGGAGCACAGAAATAGCAAAACCAGCTCTTTAGTCTCCTGTCTGTTGCTGGCTTTTAGCTCCACAAGATCCGATCACTAATGGTGCATTAACCCCAGCAAACCTCCACAATTACCCTGACACTAATTCTGACAGTTCTCAGCAGTTTATGTTTGTTCTCCTGACAAGCAGAAAGAAATTCTGCAGATGGGCTGAGTGCAGGAGAGAGATCTTCTGTCCATTTTAAAAGGAAAAAAGAAAAAGGATAAAGATTTGAAGGGGAGGGGAAAGGATAGGTTAAATCTAAACATGCCTCTGTTTTTCTAGACAACTATCGGCAAAGACAGAAATGGAGAGCTGCAACAACCTAACTATTGTCTTCTTTTAAACTCCCACCTCTTTTTAAAATGGGGGAAGATGAGGTCTCCCCTGACCTCATTAGGATGATTAGTAAAAACCCCTTTGAAGCTTAGAGAATAGCTCTGAGCTATAAGATTTTTCCTGATCATAAAAAATAAGAATCTTGTGCACAAGGAGCAAAGCACTGAGTGTATGCACATGCGCACCTGTGTAGAAAATGTGTGAAATATGGTGCAGATGGAAGGAATCCAAAATGTCTTAAAACTGACTAGCTAACCACCAGTGTTTTAACCCACTATCTTTCCCATATAGCAAGATGAAAGCAGGCATTTCTCCTCATCACCTCTCTTTTGCTTTATCCAACTTTGTGCACGCACACACACACAAACCCCAGATGCTCTGGATTACCGCCTCATTCTCCGCCCTGAATGCCAGCTGCTGCTTCTTTTCATTGCTAAACAGGGACAACGCACATTTCTGGACACAAAAATGAGCACCGTCCCCTTAGGCTAAGGCACGAAGAGGCCATTTTGGAAGGAAGTGTGCACTTTCAAATGTGAAAGCGTGTTCAGAAAACTGCTTTAGCTTTTTAAAAAATCCCAGATTTTTGGAGGTTGCAAACAGGGAATCCTTAAACCTCCCTAACCTTAGGTTTGCAGCAGGGCACGTATGGACAGGCATCTCCACCTAGTGGCGTTCCTTAGCAGACTCTGTCAGCTCTGTTGGGAACAGAGTCCATGTCTCCGTCCTCCAGCTAAGCATCCCCGAGATGTACTGGGTGACCATCGCCCCACTCCAGCCTGCACAGAGGCAGCGGAACAGCAGCACACACCTGAGCACCCTTCTCTCACCTCTGACGAAGGAGACCCAGGTCATTCTGACTCGTGACGGAGTACTGAGCAAGCCAACCAAGCCCTGGTGGCATTTTTGCTCCAAGCAGGGAGCTCAGAACATGTCCAACATTTACACCAAGATGCCCACTGCAGAGAAAATGGGTGTGGGGAGTCTGTTCTTTTGTAACCGAAGGAATTGGCTACCCCACAAGAACAGGGGGTTGTCCCAAGGTGGGTAATTTCAGATGTGACCGAAATAAAGCAGTCCTTGATTCAGTAGACTATGGTGGCAACCTGAAGCAAATCACAAACCTGGAAGGAACAGAATTCTGAGCATGAGGACTGGGGTCCCAGAAATGAATACAACTCACAGTCCTCCAGCTCCTCATTAGCACAAATAGTCTTCTTTCCAGAGTTGGCCGGGAACAACGGACAGGGCACTTTTAGCAAATCTGGAGGCCATCAGATTGAGAAAGACTGAGCTGCAGAATTAGGCGTTTCTGGCTTCGAGAACTGGATAAATCAGTGGAAGACCGGCGTACCCATTGGTACTGGACACAGTGACAAAATGGAATGAGACGTGTGGTGTAGTTGTTGGAGCTCTGAGCAGGGAGGAGAGCCAGGTTCAAGTTCCACGGGTGTTCAGCCCCATTCTGCCTCACAGGGTTTGGGAGGCAAAAAACAGAGGAGGCCATTTAAGCTGCCATGGTGGGCCAGATGTGGGATATAAACGCAAGAATTAAACAAAATAAATCCACCATGCTCACGGTCATCTAGATCACAGACGAGTTGTGCAACAGACCTGTTGCTTCTGGAGGGCAGGAGGAATCAGGGAACAGACTCCAAGCACACAAACCCTCCTCTTCCATCCAGGAGCAGGTGCTGGGTGGCCGTGATGAGTCAGATCTGAAATGACCTGAAAGCCCGGGCTCTCATCTCCCTGCAGGCCCTGGGGCAGCCATTTGCAAATCGCCCAGTGGGGGAACACAGGGAGGCAACTCTGTGAGGGAGTGAGGCAAATGGACACCTCCTCACTACCCCCTCCCTGTGTTTGGATCACTTGAGAACCCCTCCACCACCCCCGTTTGGGAGACACCTGTGCATGGGGGCTGGGCCACTTTTGTGGAGCTGAAGGTTTTTACAACCTTGGGTTTCTCCTCCTTCCCCTTCTGGGCCCCTTTATGTGTCTCAGCTTTGGCAGGTACACTGTGTGACTAGGCTGAGAATACTGCCTCTAGTCACTCCTGCAAAACGTACTTCAGTTCTTCACAAACATTTGGTTTAAAGATTGCTCTTCCCTGCACGGCCTTACTCAGAAACAAGCCTTGCTGAGTTCAGTGCCACTTTGTCCTGGGTGTACAGGGGATAGCAGTGAGGGGTTTTATTACCGAGAACAATGTTTACCAGCTCTGCACACTCTGGCCTTTGGTACTGTAAATCCCATCTCAGCCAGAGCAGCCTGTAATCTGCAATGATGGGAACTGAGCCCAAAACATCTGGAGAACACCAAATCAGAAAAGGCATGCTTGACCAGTAACATCTGTGCAGTGCTGAACAGGTTAACAATATAACCCCACCCAGTGACGCATCTCCAGAGACCTGTCACTCTCCTAAATTTCGAAAATTATGCTTCAGACAGAAAACCCAAGGAATGCTGGAATGTTTATTATTGTTAAACATTTGTGAGATATTTTTTCTCCAAATTAAAAAAGGGCTTCACATCACATCAGTTTCAGAAAACAACTGTTCTCTCAACTTACCAGGATTAAAATGTGTTGCCTTGTATTTGTAATCTGCAGAATACCTTCCTGGAATTATTTAAAAGTGACCCATCCCACACAACCACCCCAGTATGCATGTCAACCACACCATTCTGTTACTCAAATCCTGCTTCCTTCTTGAGTCCCAAGGGCAGGCAGGCAGGCAGGCAGGGAGAGAATTTAACACAGACACAACTGTTGCTTCATTGGTCAAAGATCTGGTAGCGGATAAAGTTTCATCCAAGTTTATCCCATCCAGAAAATTCAAAAACGGTTTTAAAACCAGCTGTTTGCAGCACGCCATGGCACAAAACAGGCAGGAGCTGCAGATATTAAGAGGGAAACACTGTTAATCTAGATCAACTTCTTCAGTTGATCCAGGATGAAAGGCAAAGTGCCAAGCCTTTAATTAAAAGTACCTTAATACCAACCTGTCTGCAACACCCCTTAAACCGTGATGTGGTATTACAATGTGCTATGATGCAGGCAGAGTTCTAGCAGAATTCCTTTTTTTCACTACAACCACCCATAAAATTCAGTATCACCCTTTCTATGTAAACATGTTTCTCCAATTGCTCAGCAATTCTTCGTGGCATTGTGTCCCACCCTTGGGGAGACAAGCTGCTCAATATCCCAGAGGATTAAGCCTACTACTACTAATTTCAGCAGACTGAGGCCGAACCTGAGATGAGATCAACCAATAAAGGCGGGGGGAAAACTTTCAGAAATTGCCAGATACCCAAGCAACCTGCTCCCTGGGTGGATTTTTCCTTCAGTGTTGCCCAGCATGCGGCCCATTTCAAGAACATTTACAACAGACTTGCAGCAGCTTAAAGGCGCTGCTACCACAGCTCGGAAAAAGCAAGTCCATGTCAAGTTCCAGAAGAGGCCAGCCAGGAGGACTTCATCTATCATCCCACCTCCTTAAAAATAAAAATCCCATTCAAAGAAACAGCAGATGGCACCAGCTCAGAAATGGCCACTGCTGGACCTCACAGCTGCAGGCTCCATACCTTGGCCTCTTGTTCCACAGTGGTTCGGATTGTATGAAGGCAGCCCAACCCATCTGACCCCCCAGATTCCCTCATTTTCTTTGTGATTCGATGTGCGACCAATTACATTCATCCTGTCAGTTGAGAGGCGAGAGGGGATGCCAGCTCTCCTCTCCCACAGCCTCAAGAGAAAGGTTTGCGCTGCCAAACAGCAATGCAAGAAGCTTCAGGGGAAAGAAATCTATAGAATAGGGTTTTTGGTCTTTGCAGAAAGAACACCGAGTTGAGAAAGGGAGCTTCTGATGGTGGCTCTGCTCCTTCTCCAGCCGTGATATTGGTCCCATTATCACCTAGAAAACAAAACCAAAGCATTCGACTTCTGTAATGCATTCTATGTGGAGGATTACTCTCAGAGATGCTCCAGATCCTTCCTGGCATGCAGAATGCAGCCATCCATGTGTTGCCATCGGATGCATGTATTTAAATCATACATAAGAAACCTGATTCTTTATTGGGGGGGGTTGTTTGCTTTTGTTCTGACTTATTAAAACCTTAATAGGCACCTCTCATCCCACCAAGAGGGACAGTTGGAACACCAGGCACTCTTCCGTGGTGGAATTTTACATGCCAGGTGTCTGTTGCATCTTCAGTACAATAATTGGGAGTATTCCAGGCATGGATTACTGGGCAGTTCAGTCCCGCTGATTTGATCAAAACTCAATCCCAGGTAAACACACGGAGCAATGCAGGTGTTTCTGTTGTCCCTTCTGATTTATGAAACACATGATTCCATCATGCTCAAGGAGCTGGGTGTTACTTCATAGCCCTACAAGAAAGAGCTTGAAACTTACCGTCTCAGATTCCTCGTTTCGAAGACCGTATCTTCATCACTCTCCAGAGAGCCCATTTCCATATGATCATCAGAGTTGGAGAGAAGGCCATACTTTTTCCGCGGAGGTTTTCTAGTCCTAAGTTGTTAGTTTATCATCAGTTGCAGCAACGCACCAAAACCTCTCATCCTTCTATACACTGACATCCAGTTATTTGCTCTGAGCTTGAACTGCTACCCCAGGTTTTTTTCAAGGAAAAGGCCAGGTCACCCTTACTGCACCAATGTGACAAAATTACCACATTACTGGACTGGCCAAAGACAAGAAGGGTTCGATCTTATTCATGTCTGGGCAGAAAAAAGTCCTACAACACCGAGCACACAACAACTATACACATACTATATCGCTGATGAGTCCCTATCTTGAAGTCTAAGGGTACCATCCTATATATGCTTAGACAGAAAAATATTCTACAATTCCCAGCATTCCCCAGCCAACTTTTTTTTAATAAGAAACACTCCAAATTATGAACTGTCCAAACTACAGAGCACGGCCCTTTCTCTTTCATCCTTGCATTTTCAATACCACCTAACTTATCGTTTTTCTTCCTTCTCCCTCCCCGCTCCTCCTTCCTCACATGTCCTGACTTTGGCGCTTCGCCTTCCCCTTCCCTCTGCCCACGTCTGCCCCACGTGCCGAGCCTTTTCCCTTCCTTTCGTTTTATCGGCAAGCTCGCGAGGTCGGACCCCTCTCGTCGTACTGGCTACAGGTAAGTCTTGGCTGGGGGCCCACGCACACCTGCTTCCCTCACCTCAGAGCATGTCTGCCGAGGTAGTACACGAGGCCGAGGCCCGCCACGCCGGCGATGACGTAGAGCGCGCGGTGGAGCGCCGGCAGCCCCAGCCCGGAGGGCGCCGCGAACGCCGTGGTGGGGCTAGGCCCGCCGGCGGCGGCGGGGTGCTCCTGCGCCTTGTCCTGGCCTTTGCGGCCTGCCGACGACGCCGTGGTCGCGGTGGACAGCGGCGGCGGCGGCGGCGCCGTGGCCATGGCCCAGAGCGCCAGACATGCCACCACGTTGCACAACGCCGCCATCCGCTTCCTCTCTTTGGAACGAAAAGCCGATTGCGAGGGAAAGTCGGCCCGGCCGGAAGTAGCGACGGGGGACCCGGTGCGGCACCGGACTGGCTTCCGGTCGACGCCCTCAAGCGGACACGGGAAGTTCCGGGCCCGTTAGAGCACGTGAAGGACAGTGGCGGTCAGCGGAGGCATTGCAGCGCGAGGGTCCGGCGACCGCGGGAGGGTCTTCTGCACGTACGCGCCTCGGCCTCGCGTATGCTTCCGCTGGGACTGCGCGTCTGCCGCGCAAGTAGCGCCTCCCTGCAAAAGGCTGCGCCTCACGTGACTGGTGAAGTTACTCTAAACTTCTAGTTCCGTAGTCCCGAGTTACTTGAATATGACTCCTTTCTCTTATGAGAGGTGCTATGGAAGGGCGGGTATTTCTGAGGTGAAAAGGCGTGGAGGGAAGCAACGGACGTGTGTCGGCGGCCGCAGCGCATTAAAGAAAAACCCGCCCATGCAGCCCCGTGGGGCGACCGAGCGAGCGAGCGAGCGAGCGCTCAACCACCGCGGAGCCTTTTGGGAAATGCAGTGCCAGGCTGTGTTCGTGCCTGCGGGGGCGGGGGGGGGCGAGCGTGCTCGCAGTGCATCACGGGAGGCACGAGGACGGGGGCCGTGAGCGAGCGCGCGAGCCGCCCTGCCGCGCAAAGCGCCACGGGAGCGAGAGGGGCGCGCGCGGCCTTGTGGGAAGCGCCTCCCTGGCGCGGGAGCGGGAGCTGTCATCTCCGCCCCTCCCTCCCTCCCCCCCCGCGCGGCCTGCCGGGAGCAGTAGTCCTGGCCGCGTCGACCTTCCGCGGCTTCCTCTCGCAGCTCCGCGCCCTCGCGGCCAGTCCTCGCGCTCGCCATGCTGCCCGCCAGCCGCGTCCTCGCCCGCACCGTGGCCTGCCGCTCCCGGGGCCCGGCCCGACGCTACGCCGAGGCGGCCGCGGCGGCCGCGGGCGGCCCCGCGCAGATGTCCTTCACCTTCGCCTCGCCCTCGCAGGTACGGCGAGCCGCCGCCTCCCGGCCGCCGGTGGCCGCGGGGGCGAGTGGCAGCGCGGCCGCCCCGGCCCGCGCGAAGCCCCTTCGCCGCGGCGAGGGCGGCCGCGCGTTGACAGGCGGGGGGCGGCGGCCTGTCATGGCGAGGGGGCGGCGGCTGAGCGAGGCGCGGCGAGGCGAGGCGGCCGGCTCGGGGGCTTGCAGGGGCGGGCGGCGCATTCGCCCCGGGAGGGATGCGAGCGGCGCTGCGCTGCGGCGGCTGCAGAGGCTCCGCCGAAGGGCTAAAGGCGGCCGGTTCACGGTCCCGCAGACTGCCGCGGGCCGGGCGGCCGTTTGAAGGGGGGAAGGACAGAACGAACTCCTGTGCCTATTTGAAGAACCGATTAAAATAAATTTAAAATAATGGAAATTAAAATGCATTTAAAATTAAGCCAGATTGAAATGCATTTAAAATTAAGCCAGATTGAAATGCATTTAAAAGTAAGCCAGATTGAAATGCATTTAAAGTTATGTCAAAGTAAAATTAATTGACATTATTCAGTTTTTTAGAAATCATTTAAAAAGTAAAGCGTGTTTGCTCCGCTCGCTTGGGCCGCAGCAGAAGCCCGGGATGAGGTGGGAAGAGCATGTCCCGGTTCAAGGGACAGAGCTACAGTGTCCGCGATTGTGCTGGGGGGGGGGGGCAGATGGGGGATCGTGCCTGTGCAGGGAAGGCGGGCGTGATCGCAGCCATCTCCCGCCCCAAGCATGACGGCGATTGCACCGTCTTTCCTGCATGAGCATGACGGCAATTGCGGCCGTGTCCCCCTGAGTACGCCTGTGCCGGCTCAGAGCTTTTGGACTCGCTCTGAGAAAAAGCTTTGATGTGGGCCGGATAAATCAGCATGGCGGGCTGGATCCGGCCCATGAGCCGTCGTTGGAGGACCCATGGGTTAAGGGCAAGGAAGGCCCTGGGTAGCTGTGGTTGATGTGAGTTGTAGTCCAACATGGCTGGAGACTACCAGCTTGTGGGAGGGAGGCTGATGAAGGATCAGTGGATCAGCCTGTGGAACCTCTAGGGGCATGGTTCATTGCTGGCTGTGATGAACACCTGGCTGGGGAACATGGGTCTGGTGATCCAGCACCCTGGGGCTACCAGGGATCAGGGAGGAAGGCACAGTTAAAGATTGAGTAAGGAGCAGGGGAAGCTTGTGCAACCTCCAGTTACTCACCCCAGAGGAGGACACGATCCATGGCTCTTAGGTTTGGAAGCTGCGCCTGTTTTATTGACGGAAAGTCATTTTGTCCATCTCTCATGGATCATCCCAAGGAAAGGCGGGACAGAGAGCTTTGGATTTCATGGCCCCCTTTGATCTTTTTGCATTTGGGGTTAATTTTTGCTCAGTTCAGCCTTGCCTGATGATCTGCCCACCCCTTCTCAGGTTTTCTACAACGCAGCCAACGTGAAGCAAGTTGACGTTCCCACCCTGAGCGGATCCTTTGGCATCTTGGCTTCCCACGTCCCTACCCTGCAGGTCCTGAAGCCTGGAGTTGTGACTGTCTTTGCTGAGGATGGCTCTTCCACAAAATACTTCGGTATGTGGGGCAATCACAATTAACTGGATGAATTAGCTTGCCTGGTTGGGGCACAGGTTCCTTTCAGAAAGGGAATCCATGACAAGACAAAGTTGTTCAGTGAGCCTCATGGCAGCTGGGGCCTTGAACCCAGGCCTCCCAAATCCGAGGCCGGCTCGCAAGCCGCCGTGCTGTTCCACAATTGCTTTGGCTTGATGGAGTGCTGGTTTTGGTGTAGGTTGTTTTAAACCCCTTCCCACTGTCTTATATTCCGTGCTCATTTTATTATCACATTGTTTTCTTGGGATTGTGTCTATCACATGCCCCGAAGTGCTCAGCGGACACCAATTATGAGATGGTCTGGAAGGCTTGGTATTTCAGGGCACAGTCTTAGGCAAGCGTGTATCCGGTTGCACCCTCGGTACCTGGCTCTGGAAGAGGCTGACTCTGCTCTCCCTTTGCAATTTCCCATCTGCAGTTAGCAGCGGCTCTGTCACAGTGAATGCAGACTCCTCCGTCCAGCTGTTAGCTGAGGAAGTGGCACTGCTGGATCAACTCGATGCTACGGTTCGTGCTCCCTTCCTCTCTGGGAATCCCCGTCCCGGTTTGTGCTGTTCATTGGCCAGAGATGCACAGGACGGCTTTTGCGTTCTGTATTTGGAGGCCCTTGGGTGGGGGTGGGGGGGTTCTTTTGCAGGATGTGAAAGAGTTAAACCGTGTGCCAAGACTCCTTCTCACGCCAGGGGCCAACACAGAACGTTTCCACTTTGCGGATTCCAGTTGCTTTTCTCCCTCCCCTGTTCATAGACAGCCAAGTCGAACCTGGAAAAGGCCTTGTCGGAGCTGGCAGCAGCCTCGGACGGAGCAGCGAAGGCAGAAGCGCAGATCAAAGTGGAAGCCAGCGAGGCCATTGTGAAGGCTCTGGAGTGAGGAAGGGTGAGTGACGGCTTCCTGCTGGGGTTCTCCTTTCAGTCTCGAGCTGTGCAGCATCTCAAGGGGCCGACCAGGCCCAGCGCTGAGGCAGGTGACCGCCCTCCGGTCAGCTCAGCCCCGCAGTCGCTCTAAAAACAGTGGCCCACCTTACAGGCCTGTCCTAAAGGGAAGTGGGCCGTGTCACCTGTGTCAGCTTTTAGCCACTAGATGGTGTGCCAGGGCAGAGAACAGCCCTGCAGGGCACCTGAGAAAGGAGAACTCTGCCCAGGCTCCACTCTGCACCATTGAAGGGTTTGGGGAATATCTCCTTCCGGCCCAAGGCAGGGCTGCCAGGCGACCCTCGAACCTTCCCTACAAGGTAACCCCGTGAATGGGCAGCCCTCTGAATTGAGGCTGTTGTGACGAGCCTGTTGTGCGCCCCACAGAGGCTGTTGTGTTGCACAAGCCCGGCTACTGTGAGTGACGTGAGGGTCAAACAACCCCTCGTGTTCTCCTTTGTGGGCAGGAAGTGTGCCTGCTTCTGGTACAGCCCCTGCATGCTGGGCTCCCACAGCGCAACGATCCCCAAGCACCGACGTGGGTGCATCACAAGGAACCCACAGGCAACACCGCTTGTGAGTTAAATCACCGATGGAGCGCTAAGGTGTCTGGCTTTCCCACGTGCCCAGCCCTGTAATTCTGGAGGCGTTCCAGCCCTGAGCCTTGAAGCAGCTCGCCAGAGAGCACTGCTTGCAACCCGCCAGCTCCATGCAGAAAGCCGCACGCATCTCCCCGCGCCAGCCAGGTTTGCCCCTCACCCTCCTCTCTGTCTTTGCAGGCAGTCTTGCGGTTGGCAAGCAGAAGTGGCTGTTTTTGCCGGGACACATCCTCTCCCTCCCTCCTGCTCCCTGCTTGGTGCAGTTGGTGTGCGTAAAGCCCTGTCATTAACCGTTGACCAATTAAAAAGCCCAGAAAGGTGGGCGCTGAAGCTTGTTTGGTTTCTCTGATTTTTTATCCTCTTCTTTTCCTCTATTCCTTAACAACAGAGGTGTTGAGAGTTGTGTTTTTCCGTGCAGAGTCAACCAGGACCGTCCGGTGTTGCTTCTCCTGGGGCAGAGGGTGGTTGGTGACCCTGTGGGGGAAGGCAAGGGAGCAGAAAGCAGTCCTCACGTGCAGAGTGCTGCCACGCAGGAGAAGTCAGGTGTGTGCTGCCTTGCTTCAGGGTGGCAGGACTCACGGGGTTGGGGGACCGTCCTGATGTTATGAGCTGGTCAGCCGGTAACCAGGCTGCCTCGGGAAGAACACTGTGCTCACCTGAGCCTGGAGGCCAAGGTTGCAATCCGTCAGGAAAAGCTCTGCAGCAGAGCTGAGGAAGTGGAGCCCCAGGGCCGGAGCCAGGCCACCTGGGGCCTGGCCTGCTGGGCAGCTCCCCAGCCTTTCTGCTGTTTTTCCTCCTCCCCTAAGCCTCGGCTACTGGCAGGAAGATCTGGCTGGTGTGTGCAGCATCGTCGCCCTGCCCCTGCTGGAGGATGTCTTGAGGCACTTCCCTGGTGTGGAATCCAGCCCCCAGCCTGCAAGCAGCTCAGCACCTCTGCTGTTGGCTGATGGGAGTGCAGCTCTCATCAGCCCCAGCCGTGTAGCCGGCCAGGAACTGCAAGCCCCTTCGGCAGGTCCACGCACTCTCCAGTACCTACTCGAGGTGTACAATTCCTATATGGGGCGAAAGGGACCGGCCAGAAAACCTCCCGGAGAGTCGTGGAGTCCCCCTGGCTGCTTCCCTCTGTTCCCCCAGAGATTCCCAAGGGTACGTCTGGCCTTTATTCAGGGGCCTGAATGTGGTGCCAGTTTTTGGGATGCGACCAGGAGGCCGAACTCAAGACGGGTCTGGCTGCAGAAAATGCCTTCACCACCTCGGTTGATTGGGTGGAGCCCCGTCTTCCGTCTTCTCGGACACAGACCCCACTCTGGCCGACAGACCAGGTGCAAGCCCCTTGCTCAGGCATCTGCTGCAGCCTTCTGCCCTCCCCTAAACGGGTCCAGTTGCCACGGCCAGCACAGGTGGGGCAAACACCAGCTCACCTGGATGTGAGGGGCGCCATCCGCTCGCTGGTCCCAGCCAGCTGCAGGGGAAGTGGGGCAGGGAGCATCTGGAAGAACCTGGGCTGGGCGGGTTCCGCAGCCGGACGTGCGACTCTTGAGGCGTTGCCCGTGGAACGTGCTGTTGTGCAGTGCAGGGGACGCCAAACACACAGAGCTGCCTTGAAAAACTTTGCAGCAAGGGCAGGACACGAAGGGGCCGCACAAGCCCTTGCAGAGGGACCCTGCTGCCCCCGTCTGCTGCTTGATCCTTGCGGGCAGGGGCCGCACGTTTGAGCCCTCCTGTTCCCCGTCACGGCGTACAGGCGCGAAGGCTGGATGGCAGGAAAAGCTGGCAGGTGGGCACTGAATGGTGCGTTCTCAGAATGGTGCCAGAGGAGAGCTTTGTGAAAGCCCTGGACCAACAGAAAGACAAGCCGGTGTGTCATCACTCAGCTCAAGGCGGAACTTTGCCCGGAAGCGAAAACGGCAGAGCTGAGGCTCTCCTCCTCTGAGCACGTCCTGTTCAGGCTTCCGTCTCTGCAGAGCAGCGAGCCGCCCTGCCTGTGGGGAGCTTGCCCCTGGAGCCCCAGCGGCCCCGGCGTGGTTCCCCCTGCGCATCCTTGCTTGGCACTCCATTCACATGTTCGTAGTGGGCACCTTGCCACGGATCTCCTGGGCCTTCCCTGGGAAACGACACACGCTTCCAATCCAGAGCAGGCCAGGTGGAGAGGCAGGTCCACAGAAGGTGGGGACACCGAGGCCAAAATAAAGGATCCGTCTTCAAGGCGGAGAAGCGAGTCCGCAACAGCCCTCCGTCCCCGGCCCTGTCTCCCAGTCCATGCGTTCCATCCACCCTCTCCCCTAGTCCAAATTTAGCCATTTGCACGCTCCTCTTCCCCACACCCCCTGATCCCCCGCCCCCCGTGACGCCACTGGTTGTGCCATGACGCCGGCTCAGCAGGTTGTACCCACGTAAATCCTTGTGCGATGCAGTTATATTTGGACTCACCGCCTGGGATGTCGTCTTCACTCTTCGCTGCTCCGCCTGCAAGAAGGGATCAAAAAATAGACGCTCGGGCATTTAAAAAAAGACCCTCTTCCTTGCTTTGGAGTTTATTAAAAGCCCTCACATGCTTCTTGCCAGTTCTGTGTCCTAAGTCCCCAGCCCCCACCCATCCTCTGTTTCTTCCTTTCCTCCTCGTTAAAGGTCAAATGGTTCCAGTGTGCCGGAAAAAAAAGCTGAGCTGGTACTAATTAAAATGTCACGGGAATAACTAGTGACAGACCGTCTTTTGATTCTTCTCTTCCGTCTGCTCCTCTTTCAGGCTCTTTTTAATTTTTTTCCCTTCTCTGCTCTTGTATTTTTCCACTTTTTTTCTCAATGTGCGTAGGAGGTATTCCCTTCGGTTTGCTACGGGCTTTGCCAGTCCGGCACCCTGCAAACACGTGGACTTCAGCTTGCATCAGCCTGGGAGAGGCTGCCATAAAGGGTTTGGATTAACCACTAGGTCACATAGCCCCTTCAAGATGGGAGGAGTTGGTTCAGGGAGCACCTGCATGCAGGAGTTCATGGGAGTTGTAATCCAACGCATCCAAAGGGCACGATGATGGATGGGAAAGGATGCTGAAGTCATCTTTAAAAAATGGAAGCTATTTCAGCGTCAGGAGGCAGTCAGATGATGAGAATGTCAAGCCCCATTCTACAATATCAGGATTCCCTGCTCTCTTGAAACAAGGCATCCTGTAACCTTGCATTTAATGCCTTTGTGGTTTGGAAATGGGAAAAATGGATTGGCTTGGCCCTTCTGTGGTGTAGGAACACTGCAGTCCCCAGGAAAGCTGAAAGGTGGCCGAAGGTTTCGGCCCTGAAGAGAGGAAGCAGCCTTACCTGGTGGGTGCAGGTTGAGGCCCTCTATACGTTTTGGTCCCCACTCCCATTCTCTGTAATTCCGCTAACAATGGCTGATGGGAGTTGTAGGCCCAAAGGGTCTGTCCCTGATCTACAAGTAGCTCCTTCCTTCCTCCATCCGGAACCTTTATGTTCTTGCTAACAAATGCACCCACTTCTGGCGGATAGGCCTTGCTCGATGCAGCAAGGGTTACAGGAAACAGGTGGGTGTGCTCTCCCCATCTGAGCAAAGCCAAGCCCACTGGCACCACAGGGCAATACCCTGCCATGGTGACGCACCCCCAACTCCCGTTCTCTTGCCGTGAGGGAAGGCCACCTCCTCTCAGGGGCATGGCAGGGGAGAGACATCTAATTCTGCCCCCCTCCCTCCTCGTTTCGCCTGACTTCAATCTATGGATCACTAAACCATGTGCCGCTTAAGCGATTCTGCCACCTAGGGACTAAAGCCGGTACAGCAGCTTTCAAACTCGCCAACGTTCCAATTGTCGTTAATTCAAATGCTTTTAGAAATGGAATAGCTCCAGAAATCCCACCACGGTGGCCCCCTTAGGTTGCCTGCCGTGTTTCAGGGGTCTTGGGCTCAAGACGCTGATGCTATAGTGCTACCAGAGGGACGGACAGACAGACACGCATCCACCTTTACTATAGAATCAGGTTTCCGTGCATTAAGCCATGCCCAGGGTGGCTAACGGGCTGTCCTACCACACCATTCAGCAGTTTTTGTGCCCCACTGGCCCGAAATGGGGGGCCAAAGCCTCTGTAACCCCAAGGCAGCAGAATCTTCCACACCAAGGTTGGCTGCTCAGTTTCCCGGCTGTGCAGGGAAGGAAGAGCAAAGGCAAGGAAGCACCAGTCACCCAGGGCGGGGAACAAAAAAGCATTATTTGCTCTTAATCTGAGCCCGGCTCTTCTCACCTGTCCCCTTCCCAGCGCTCGCACAGTGCCAGCTGCTGAAGGCAGCCCCAGGTGCAGAAGCCATCTATTTTGACAAGAGAGTGCTTGGAACTGAAACACTTGGAGTTTTGGGGTGTGTCTGTGTAAACAGCGCGAAGGTCAGCCGAGAGGGCAAGAACAAGGAGCTGGAATCCCACCCTTTGCCCTCGATGCAGTCCCACTAGTATTTGCTTGTCTTGTGCTGTTTGGTTTCCAGGAAAGTGATACGCCCCACTCTGGCTGATCTAAGATGGCTTTTCTCTGGGTAATGAGGTATGAAGTGTGGAATGTGGCAGTCTGGCAGGCAGAGAGGAAGGGAAGGGAAGGCCAGGGGGTTGTACTGGGAATTCTTTCTCTTCCTCGGAGCCCTCCAGACCGCACGGCACGGGGCTACAGCGCAGCCGCTCTCCCCATGTTCTCCTTATAAGGCTCTGTCTCCTCAGCGGGGCCTTCCCAGGGAAGAGTCCTTTTGGGGCCGGGCCAAAGCACATCTCCAGCATGCCCTGGCTCTGCCTCCACATGCCCTGGAGGTTCCCCTTTGCAGGAAGCCATGGGCCAGTGGCCAGGGCAGGAGGCCACTGAGCCAGGCAAGGGCCGAGCAGGCCTCTCCGGAGTTTTGATGCTAGGGTGCACATGGATGCCCCAAAGAGGGTGTGACACCCAGAGGCGTGAGCACGTAGGTGTGGTTGAAAGAAAGCCATCCCAGAACCAGACTCAAGGAACCCGTCCCTTACAAGGAGCCGGAATTCTCTAGCTGCCTTTGCTGGCCAGGGGAGACTTTGCCAACGCAGGGGCATGGGCCTTCCAGGCAAGCTCCGAGACATCCACATCAATAGTTTGCTCTTTTCGGAAGTGAGAGGATCCATTCCCCTGGGAAATGCACTCTGTGTGTGCCCCCGGAGGCAGCGAAGGCCTAGCAGGTTCTGGGAAGAGTGTAGAGGCTTTCAGTTGTGCCCCTGCACCCACACAGAGCCCTGACTGCCTGCATGCCCTTGTGGGAAAGACTTGGTAGATAAACCTCTCCGCCCGCAGTAGGAGTGTCCGATTATTTACATAACAAGTCCAAACCATA